TTATCACTAATTAAAATAATACTATTTAATATATTGCCACTTATTAAATATTTAAATATAAAACTATTTAATATACTGTAATATTACTTAATAATAATTTAATATATATCAAATAATAAAATAATATTTGATTATTAATTATTTAATATACTTGTAAATTAAATAAAAAAAAAGAAAATAAAATTTAAAAAAAAAATAAAATTTAAAATATTTTTAAAAAAATTAAATTTAAATACAAATTGTTTTATATTAATTTCAATTCAATTTTTTAATAACTATTTGATAAAAACCTATATTAAAGTTTATTAATAAATACTGTAAATAAAAATGGGTTTCTAAATTAAAGACAAGAATATAATTCAAATATCTTTTATTATTAAAAAGTTTTTTTTTTAATATAAAAATAAAAAAAACTATTTATAAAGGTTTTTACAGTTTAAATTATATAATTCAAATATCTTTTAAATTATATTTCTATTAAAGTAAAGAGTAAATAATTATGTCACTTCTAAAAGAACATAATTGATCTGCAAAATTTTATATACTAAATAATTTAGGTATCTATCTTTATTTATAGTATTAATAAAACTCTTAGATAAAAATACTAATAATAATAATATCAAAGATTTTGAAAATACTAATACAAAAAATTATAAAAATGCCAAAGATTATAAAAATATTAAATATTGGTTAAATCCATAAAAATAAAGGTTTTAATCAGTTAGAAATATAAAGAATAAGGGCAAAACAGTTTATAAATTAGATCCAAGAAAAACAAAAGAAAAAATGAAAATCCTTATAAAGATATTTCATGAATATTATAAACTAAGAATGAATAAAGTTTTTTCAAGTTCTGAAAATAAAAAAATATTAGTTAAACCAATATCTAAATTATTGAAATTAATAACTTTATAGTTTAATTTCTTATAAAGACAATTACACAGTCACTCTCTTTATAGTGGACCTCCACTACAGTGGATTTTGGTTATTATGGAGGAATATTGGAAACTTTTTTTCCTTCTAATTAAACTAGTTCTATATAGTGTATTTATATAGAAACTATTCGGATAAACTTATAGTGGAGAAACTCGCTTGATTGATTATAGTCTAGAACGCCCCTTATAGTATATTTTTATTATGGATTACACAATAGATATTATAGAGTCCATAGTATATATAGTGTAGTTTTGTTCGGTATAGTAGAGGGATAATAAATGGTCCAATTAAAGTAAGGGAAAATTTTTTCTTAATTACTCCGCAAAATGAAGGAAAGAACAGAAGAGACGGAACCCTCGCTGTCTAGGGATAGAAGTAGCCAAGAAACACCCAAAAAGCGCGTTGCCTTGACCGGGGCAAAGTATGTAGATAATAAAAAAATAATAAAGCAAGGGGCTTTGGGCTTTTATTATTCTTTATAAAAAAAATAAGAAATGATAATAATGCGAGGGGTTTTTATTATTTTTTTATAAAAAAAATAAGGAAAAGATAATGTGAGGGGTTTTTATTATTTTTTTATAAATAAAAGAATGATAATAATGCGAGGGGTTTTATTATTTTTTTAGAAAAAAGGAGTTATGTGAAAAAAAATGGGATTTTCCCTCGATAAAAGGCCGAGAACTGGCGGAAGACTTTGGAATTAGTGAGCAGGCTGTCTCCAAAATTCTCAAAAGGTCTTTACATTGGCTAGGCCTTGAATCAGAATCAACTGCTGCCAGATCCAAACGTGATCGAAAAAGCACCTTTCCCGAAATCGAAGAAGCAATGATAATTTGGGTCGACCAAAACATTGCCCGAGAGCTTACTCTCCAAGGACATATAATTCAAGAAAAAGCAAAATGGTTTGCTGAAAGACTTGGTGTCGAAAACTTCACTGCCTCTGATGGATGGCTTGCAAAATTTAAAAAACGAAATGGCCTTAGCTCATATAAACGACGAGGAGAATCAGCAAGTGCCCCAATTGAAGAAATTCCACGATTTCGAACAGAATTGCAAGAGGTTCTTCGTGGGTATTCTCCAGAAGATATTTTCAACTGTAATGAAACGGCACTTTTTTGGAAACTTGAGCCAAGTCGAACACTCGCCCATGGACCTGTAGCCAGAAAGAAAAAGCCCAAAGATCGTGTCAGTATTATGGTAACATGTAGTTCAACCGGAGAAAAATTGCCTTTGCTATTTATTCACAAATTTAAAACTCCGGTTGCTCTCCGAGGAATCGATAAAAACACTCTTCCAGTCTGGTATTATTGGAATAACAAGGCTTGGATGCAAAGATCAGTTTTTGCCCATTATCTTGACCGACTTAATACCAAAATGCGCAGAGCCAACCGGCATATTCTTCTTTTAATGGATAATGCCAAATGTCATGAGACGGAAAACCTTGAGACTCTTTCCAATGTTCGAGTTCACTTCCTCCCTCCTAATACAACATCCTATTTACAGCCGATCGACCAAGGAATTATTTACAGCTTGAAGGTATTATAATTTGGCATTGTCATTTTTGCCATTGGTCATATTTGGTATTTCATGGTTTTATTTATAGTGTATCTCATAATGTCATATTCCATATTCAATTTACTGCCAGGCTCATTATCAACGAATTTTATGTCAAAATCGACTTGAAGCCTATGAAATTATTACACCCGAATTTCCTACTCCTAGTTCACTTACGATTCGAGATGCGATTGAATTTTCTGCTACTGCTTGGAATTCCGTGACCCAAGCTACGATTAAAAATAGTTGGCGTCGTGCAGGTATACTTCCTCCTTCTACAACTTGGGACGATGATCTAGTAGCAATTGATCTCACTCTTAGTAATGCCGAAACCGAGTACAACCACGAACTTGTAGTCCTTATCGACCAAATGCCACATATTTCTGATCCGCTAATCGCAGAAGAGTATATTCAGGTTGATAATCAAGCTATGAGCGAGGAACAAATGACAGATGAGGAAATTGTCAAGTTTGTAAGTGGCAAAAAGGCTCAAGAGCCAGAGAATAGTGAAGAGGCGGAACCTTTGGTAAAAGTAATGGATGCTTTGGAAGGATTGACAAATGTGGTAAGATATTTGCAACAAAATGATCTTGTGGGGATTGATTTTGTAACTATGAAAATGTTAAATAGTTTAAGACATCAAATTGTTCGAAAAAATATTGAAAGCAAGCGACAGTCCAGCCTTGTTAAATACTTTCAAACCAATAAAATTGATTGATTAATTATACTTTAATTGATCTAAAAATTTAATTTACATATGATATTCGTCATAGTATATATCACGTGATTTATTAGTAACTACACTATATAGTGAGATTTCTTTTTTGTAGATATCTCATTATAGTGTAGAAACCTGTTGGATTTTTTGTCTCCACTATAAAGAGAGTGACTATGTATATAACTGGTTAAGTACTGTTATTGAATAATTAAATTCGATAATATTATATTATTTTTATATATTTTTATATTATTATTTTATCTTCTTTTAACAATATTT